GTATCAGTTGGAGAGCAGGCAGCAGAGGGGCAGAATGGAAGACGAATGACACAGAGAGGGAAGAGGAAGAGAAGAATGGTGTGAGGGTAGAGGGAAGGCACACAGAAGGTTTGTGCAGAGAAGCACTGGGAGGGGTGAAGATGAAAAATAAAACAGTGGGCGTGAGGTTTGATTGAGCACCTGGTCTTTCCCTTTTGCATAAAATGTCTGATGAAAAAATATGTTTTTACAGCACCAAGGCCAGCCCTGATGGCCGCTGCAAACCTACACCCCTTTCCTTTCACTCTCTCTTTTTTAGTTCCCTTTCTTCTCCCTTTCCTTGTCCATTGTCAAGCTGTCCTCAGGTTAGCCGAAAACATCATCCAAATCTAATTAGTGAGATGCAAAAACATCTGTATGTTTGTCTCCCTAATGCTCATTAGTCATTAGCATAAGGAACAAAACGACAAGAGACTGCAATATGCGGACACAAATTTGCAAGTCAATTTAATAATGCACATTTTGCTGCCTCCACACGTAGCCTATCATGTTTTCTTTCTTTCTTCTTTTTTTTTTTGGGGGGGGGGGGGGGGTGAAGATGCTTGAAAATCAATCCCGCCCCCTGTGAAATACAGCCAAGATGGCGTCTGGCAGAGTAAAAGTTCATGAACTGCTCCCTCGCCGAGCACAAACTGCCACGGATGGCTGATTGACAGATGAAACACAAAGACACATCTGAAAGACAGAGCGCCAGCGTCCTCAAACTGGTACCCATCCCCTTCTCCTCTGTCTTCTCTCCACCTCACCCCTTCAGCCCCACCCCTTCAGCCAAGCTCCTCTTCTCCTCTCTCTCCATATGTCTATGAATCTGTCACTATGGCAACCTCACCCCAAGGGCAGAAGAGGAGGGTGTGGTGGGGGGTTACTTTCGCTCAGACAAATAAGCATGGCAGGGCTCATTTATGATGGTTTGTTTAGGGATTATAATACACTGATGAGAGGTCAAAATGTGTCTTCTCGCATGCACAAGTAAAAGTGTATGCTTGTGTGTGTGTGTTTGAGCTAATTGTGTGCAGCATATTGACGAGCATATGCGGTAAAGCTGCACTGTAAATATTTTGGAATGGATGAAAAGGGCACAAAATATTTATTTAAGTGCAAAATAATACTGTCATTTTCATGAGCGATCTCGAGAACTTACGTTTAGTGATCTTTTGAAATAAATATAAAATGCTACTTTTCTATAGAAGGCAAACAAAAGAGAGCACGGGTAGCATACTGCCACAGGACCAGCACCTTTAAATCAATGCATTATATCGGTGGCATCATTAGCAGAACTGGTCCCATGTTGTAGCTGATGTCTTAGATGCAATATCAGCAATATTTGCGGCGACTTACTACATTGTTTCCCCCCTTTTTCCCTCCATTTTATGCTTGTCTGCAACTTTTCAAAGGGCAATCCAAACTAGTGAGCAGACAGAGCTGCACTGGAGAGGTCATGTAGACACAATCAGATATGTAGCTTGATTTTCCTGATGATGTCACACAGGGGTACTAAGTATACCAGCCAGGATGCTGCCCTGCACTGCTTCGACACACAGCAGCACATGTCTCGGGAAATTGGGGGGACTTTCCTATGCAAGCCACTTGTAACCTTGACACAGTTTCACCTCTGCGTGTACCCTCCTTCTCACTCTTTTTGCCCCTCTCCACCCATCCTCATGATACCTTACAGTGACTCAAAGGCCACCCCTCCCCCCACTTCAAGAGCACATTTCCCATTGCAGCCAGAAGTGCTGAGTGCTGCTGTTTGCTTTGTACACAGAAATTCGCTGAGGCTGTAAGCTGTCCCCAAACATCTGCTCCCTGGAGTGGAGCACGAGAGGAGAGGCAAGGACTGGACTGGTGTGCATGTTGTTCAGCGCCGCTCTGTCAGAATGTATGGATTTGTATGTGCGCGTGTGTACGCATGCGAGTGAACAATTATTCAAATAGGTGCTTTGTATCTTTTTTGAGCGCATTATTAGCAGCACCTAGGAAACCAAACACATATTTGTGTAATTGTACACAGAACATCCAAACATGCATTGGCACGCGCTCGTGCACACACAGGTGCGCTTCATTTCTACTTTTCTTGATGTACAAATTGTTTGGTAGTCAAATATGTGAATAACGCCGATCAAAAAGACTAATAGTGCATGAAAGTCTTTGCAAATAAAGAAAAACAGTAAAATCAGACAAGCAGAAAAAAAAACTAAAGGGAGGAGAGCATTCAAATGGCCTATAATTAAAACAACAACCAAGCTATCTGTTCTGTAAGTGCTTCACATAAAGTTAGAAAAAGCTTAACGTGATCAATTGATTTTATTCCCTCGAGCTTGGTGAAAATATTACATGCATATTATGCATTAAGTTAATTTCAGGTTAACTTAGCATTAATTAGTGCAAGCTCAGAAAGAACCCACTTATATATGTTCATTTTAAAAAAGTAGTGTAAGGTATTCTGTAAGGCACACATTGCTCACGCCTCAGTGTTCCTCGGGAGGATTGTAACAGCTGCCCACACCAGCCAGCTTACAATAGAGAAGAGAAGAAACGAGAGACTGCCAATAGCCTCATTCATTATACACTAATACATCAGTGGATTTGCTTTATTCTCAGCTGTGTGTTTTCTGTTCAGGAATACTTTAGCAAAACAAGTGGAACTATTCATTAAACAAATGATTATACTTATTTTAAATATGAATAGCTTTCTTGCTGAATTAATGAGAAGAATAAAACTGATTTTAGATTGATTTTCATCATGAGAAATAACCACTGTATTTAAAGAGGAAAAAAATGAAGGTGAGGAAAGCTTGCTCCAAGATGATGATGATGATGCTGGTGCTACCTGTGGCAGCAATATATCTGGATTTGAGTAATTTTGGCTTTAACTTTCTTCCCACTTGCCACGTGTTTACGTGTGTCTAAGCACAGCACAGCTGTCAGTCTTCCGAACCAACCGTACATCTTCAGGAAGGAATTACAGGAGAGTACAAATTCATCAGAGCAGTCACGCTCAAATGCTTTCGAACTAAATGTCAGGTCTGAACAAACAATGCAGTTCTGCTTTCATCAATTGAGACGCAAACACTGAAGCTGCCACACAATGAAATGAAGGTGATGGTTCAAACAAAATAAATCAGCTCTTTTTTCTACATTTACCTCTTCTTTCTAATTTACATTAGGTTTTTCCCTCTTTTCTTTCCCCTCTCCTTATTACTGAGCCCGCTGTGTGTTTTAGGTGTATCTATTATGCAGAAGAACATGTGATTAAGTAAGTTTGGATTTTAAAAAAAAAGTCAGAGTGCACACGTGCTGCAAGGGTCTGCTGTGCACATTACAACCTGCTACATGGAGCCCTGTCACTACATGATAAGATGATAAGAGTTCCTAAAAAGGTCAACATAAACAACACATTGCTGTAATAACAGTGGACATTTTTATAGTTGATGGCTTTAAACTGACATGATCCCAACATCGCTGTGCCCATCATTATCCCTGTGACCTTCACGTGCGCGCACTTTGCATTAACGAGACAAACACATTTGATGGTTTTGTTAAACATTCCAATTTGTGCTATTTTGTTTAGAGAAAGGCAGCCTTAATGGTGTGTGTTTTGTTTAAATGCAAATTCTAGATAAATTGGGCTCAACATATTTTGGCCCTGCTTGCATGTAAAATCATTCATATCAATTCCGAGAAAAGAAAAGAAAAAGAAAACTTTTAAATGTTTGTAAAGTTGGCCCCTCTTCTTTAACTTTAAACTTCTTTTCTTTTCTGGCTTTCACTAATGAGATGCACATTAAAAACATATTGTTTGGGGGTTGGAGAAAAATAGGTGTGTGTAGGGTTTTTTGTAATTCTTCAAGCAAATATGCATAAAATATATAAACTGCAAACTTCTAATGAATAGTTGTTCCAAATATTGTTTATGCTGGCTCTGACATGGAATCATATTAACTGTTGAGCATGCTCAAGTAACTCTAATATTTCAACTTTGCTATTAAAAATAGGTCTGTAGTTTATATCCAAAAACGTATTGGGTGAAAAGACTCTTTCATCCGGTTTATAAACTGAGCCAGTAGCATATTTTTTTGGCTTATTAAAATAAGAGACGGGGCAAAAATTAGGTTACCTCTAGGTGTAGGAGAAAAAAATCCATTATCTGGCCTGGTATGGAATTATAATATGAACAATTATCATATGGCCTACTCGCCCTTCTATTCAGCTCGATGAAATATTGTTGTGTGGACACACACACCCCACACCAGAACAAAAGCATTTGGAGTTGCTTGTTGAAAAAAAGAAGAAGAGAAAACGAAAGAAAGGAAGAGAAAAGCTCAGACTTCGAGGTCACCCAAATTAATGGTGCATCTTGCTCTCTCAGAGCCGCTGACCGGGTCATCGTTGTTCCGAGGCAAGGCAAAGGTCAGGAGGTGAGAGGTGAACTCTGGTGTAACTGCATATATTAGCTTGGCCTTGCAGCCTCCATGTCTACTCTTGTGCCCTACAAAGGCGCAATTGTATTACTTTAAATGAGTATTACCAGTAGCATTTTACTTACATGATACAAATACAAATTCAAACGAGAACGCTCGTCAGAGGTTTGAAACCGACCCAATTTCTTCCTCCTCCTCCTCCTCTTCTTCTTCATCTTTTTTTTTATCCTAGCACTTTATTTCTAATCTCCAACACTCAAGTTTAATTCCTTTGTTATGATTAATATCCGTTTTGGATCCAGCAACCTTCATATCCAGTGCAAACACGCTAATTGAAAGCTAAACAAAAATATTCCCTTACACAAAATTAATGTGCCTGATGGCCCATATCTTGATATTAAAGTAGACATTAACATGATAGAAACGCAGTGTGATACCGGAAACATAACAGTGTTTAAGGGCCGTGTTTACCATCATTTACTTTATATGAGATGAGATGTGAATCTGGAAGGAATATTTAGCTGCTCGAACTGCTGGGGCCACACAGTTTATTGGTTGATCTGCAAAACAGCACAGGCACCGTTTTATTGTCTCTTCTCCCGCATGAGTCTTTCAGCTAAATTATCATTTTCTGATGCATATATAGAAGCAATAAAAGACGCAACAGCTCCCGATCGCGACGTTTCTACATTCCATTAACATGCAGTTACACATGCATGCAAATGCTCACATATTTGTGCCTCAAATGGATGGATCACCACGGATCAATACTCCAATACGAGCCCATCAATAAATCTCTCCATCAATCATGGCATTTTAATCGTTCCGTGGATAAAGGAAACAGTGGGAGTGGATAAAACACACGACACGAAGGCAGGATTCAAAGCGAAGCTAAATTAGCTTGATAAATATTTGGTAACATAACGCGTGGGCTCTGCCTACAACAGGTGTATCTCCTCCTGTCCTCAAATGTGAGCCGTCAGAAGCAAACAGCTTAAACAGAAACAATTCCACATAATTGTGGACTTTAATTTGTCTGAGACGGCAGCTATGGCATAATGTGAATAAATGCTGTAAAAATATCAGAATAAATAATAATCATAAATAGATCTTCAATAAATAGAAATAATACATTTTACATAGAAACTGGGAAGCACGAGTTAAAATGTGTTCAAGTTTGCCGAATAAATTGTCCAAAAAAAAAAAGTAAAAAACAAAAACAAAAAAAAGAAACACAAAAAACACAAAAAGAAAATACGCAAATGGACTTCCACGGTTTCTATGGGCAATTAATATGAGTTTGTATCTTCGTTTACATTGTGTAGATAGGAGCGCAATGGGATGAGTTGAATTTTAATATTCAAATCAGAGCACCAGTCTGAAGCCGGAGAGAATGACAAATCGTCTGGGCCCGTTCTTGCATGAAGAAACTTGCCTTTGCGCTTCTTGCGTTAAGCATCCATCGTTGTAAGCAAATAAAGGTGAAGCCTGATTGAAAACGATGCAAACGCCAATCAAAACATTTGCAGACTTGCCGTGTAACGCACGATGCAGTTCAGGAGTTCAGGGGCAGGTGTTTGTTTGTTTGTTTTGATTTTTTTTTTTTTTTTTTTTTTGGCTAGGTCGGTCCGTGGAAGGGGCAGGTGTCCAAAGTGTCGGCGTGTGAGTGCGGAGCCGCGGGCCTTGGGTCGGAGAGTAGCCCGTCTCTCTGTAATTTCTTCTCCTTCATGCGTCTGTTCTGAAACCAAACTTTCACCTGGGTCTCGCTAAGCTGCAGGGCGCCGGCGACCTCCACCCGCCTGGCCCGCGTCAGGTACTTGTTGAAGTGAAACTCCTTCTCCAGCTCGGTCAGCTGCTTGGTGCTGTAACTGATCCTCGGGGCTCCGTTCATCGTGGGATGGCCGTCCGCGCAGATGCTGCGATTTCCAGCCTCCACCACACCGAGGCCCGAGTCAACAATACTGAACCCACAGGTCATGCGCGTCCTGACTGGGGAGAGAGAGAGGACATGAAAACCTTCTTTAGCAAGATCAATGAGGCTACTAACAAAAGAAGCACAAAACCTTTCTGAATTAAATTATCCACGCCCATATCCTCGATTTAAGCTGAACCCCAAAGCTGAAAACGTGAAAGGTTCAGTTTGTTCGGCTATACGTGAAGTCATAACTTTCTGTTTCCAGAAAAAAATAAATTCAGTGTTTACTGAATAAATGATATGCAGTCCAATCTCAGTGATAATGGAGAATAAATAAATAATCGTTATTATATTTTTTTACTTAAAGAGTAGTTCAGTATTGAAGCATTCACCGGGGATAAAATGATATAAAACTCATTTACAGGAATTGGCTCTGTGCCAGTCTAATGATTTAAAGTGTCCCCTGTATAATGAAGATGTTTCATCAGAGGTATCAGCTTTACCAAAAAGCCTATAGGCAGGGTGCAAAATCCTGAACTGCTGTAAAGCAGAGAGGCTTGAAATGTTGTGCTATCTACATGGGACATAACAACAGAAAGACCTGTGCAGCACATTGCAGTCCACAAGCTCACAGCTTGGAAATCAGATTTAAAGTGAAACTTCTGAGTGTGAGTTTGGATGTTTTGCAGTATTACTGGGCAGTATTATATTTTAAAAGCGTGTTCATCAAAACATTCAGCGAGTTCATTAAAAACCGTATAGAAAATAATATATGCCGTATATTCTGATATAAAGCAGTCAGATGTTTGGCGATTCAACACAACTTTGTAGCATTTACAGTCCATTAACTGTATTCATCGGAATCATTAATTATTTGCCTTCGGGTCTTTCTGTGTCAATGACAGTTTAACAGTTTACAAATCCTTTCAAACGCTGCATTAATGACAAATGTCTCCATTTTTGTCCTCTGAGGTTTCTGGGTTACACATTAAAGTATCATCTGTGCTACTTATGTGCAATGAATGACAGGAAGTGCAGCTATATCTGGATTTTTCATTGCTGACATTGTGGGTAGTTGTCAGTGTGTCTTTGCCTCTGAGAAAATGGGCTGCTGCTTCTGCATAATGGAGTCAGTGTGCCAGGTGTAGAGCAATGCCTCCCACCACAATTCATAGAGAGGAAGGTTAACAGGCCTCCAGCCACTTGGAAAAGCATAGCAGATGGAAAGGTCAGTTATAGGATAAATGTCAACATCTGTGTTTTAAGAAAATGAATGCGAAGGTGACCAAGCCTGAGAATTTGAGGCCAGTGAATATGAAGAACCAATGCAGAGAAACTGTACGTAATTAAGAACTTGAGCTTTGTGGAGTGCAAATCACATGCACATTCTGATTAATGGCTCCAAAGATAATAGAATTGATGCCGGCCAGAGGGCATAAAAGAATCAAACTAAATATTTGAGGAATGACTTGCATGCTTAAAAATAGCCAGCCAGCAAAGGGAATGGAAGGGCCTTCCAAGCCAAGGAGAGGGAAGAAGAAAAGGGATAGATCAATACACAATGCCTCAGTCATCTGGGCATCCAGCCCACAGTAATTCAGGTGCTGTCAAAGCATAATTGAAGAATGACGCACTGGGAGTATATACACTGAGCCAGGAGATCAGGTTACAGCAGGTCTATGGAGGCCTTTCAACATGGAAGAATACGCAATACTTTTTTTTTTTGGGGGGGGGGGGGGGGGGGGGGGTTGCAAAACCAATACAACCTCCAGAGGAAAGCATACTTTCACTAATGACTCTTTTACAAGTTACACAGTAGTCCTAATGAGTTACTCCTACAGATGATCTCCTTCAGAGAGAAACAGAAAGAGGTTACAGAGATACAAACAATACTGGCAGGAAATGTCTTTTTGCGTGGGTGGGTGTGAGCAAATGGTTTTCCCAAGCACATGGATTTGGATCATGTGAGTGTGTCTCTAATGTGTTTGATGGATAAAATGACTTTGAGATCAATCAGCAGTGTGCCTGCCACCTTCTACCTTCCTCGCTTTGGCAATATATCCGGTCTAAAGAACATGAACTGTAGGTTTTTCTATTTGTTTGTTGGTTTGTTTGTTTCTTACACCATTTCATTTTTTATAATAAATCAGCTGTGTTTATGCCACATTTCTGTTTCTGTCACAGCGACATCTTTAAAAGAATCTGCAAATGCAGATCAGTAGCTAAGCCACTAATGTAACCAAGGATTTTTTTATTGTATTTTTTTAAAATGTAGTTGTTATTTCATTAGTTTAAGCTTGACCCATTGCCACACAGTTTTTTATTCTGCGACCGTCCGGTGGACTAATCTGAATATTGAGCAAACAGTTGGGTTCTACAGATTTTATGTTTGTTGAGTCACAAAATGATCAAAATTAAAATCAAATGTGATGTCTCTCCTTTTTTGAGAGCATACAAAGGTAGCAGAAAGATTATGACATCATTTTATGTTCAGATTGTTTGTTGCGTCCCTTAAAAGACAAGCTGGGCCCTTCTACCACAAATAGTTTTTTTGTTTGTTTCAGATTTGGTCACTGGATATTTGGGTCAGCAGCATTCTTACTGCAGACACAGACTATTAAAAAGAAAAGAAAGAAAAAACAATACTGGACCACCGCTGTTGTAAATCTTCCTCCATGTAAAATTTATGAAACCCAGCCCAAGTACAGTGGCCAGTCAATCAAGTGACATTATTGATCAAATGAAGGATCTACATAAGATACTATAACTCACATAAAATTGAGGATTGATGGGCATTTTTCACATTAGTATGCTCCTGATATATATTTTTTTAAAGTCTGGGATATGTATTCTTCTGTGGGCTCTCTGCCCAGAACTCATCAGTCAGTGAAATGGTGATCTGTGACAGCAATTATGTTAAAAAGGTGGACACATGTAAAGGTGCTGCAAACTGAAATCAATACACAAGGGCTTTCATTACAAACAGACAACTAATCAATACTCAGGGAGCACTTCAGCTTACAGGAGTAAGTTTTACTCAACTTCCTGTGAGCCTCGACAGGCAGTGGTCTGTTGCATTATTCAAAGTCTGCTGGTTAGTAAGGGCAAGGGTAAATAATTGATTGTTTTCTGGGTTGAATATACACTGAGGCTAAACAGGCTTCTCACTGTACTTCACCTTCTCCCTCTGTGCACAGTCTAAACCCGGCTTGCAACAGTAGGTGGAGCAAAAAAATGTTAAATAACCTAACAGACATATTAACATGAAACCGTTAAGAAAATTGCACCCGACTCCTCATGAGCATATTCAAATGTGGCGTCGAGTAGGAACAGCTATAGCTGCCTTCGAAGCGTTTTGATTTGCTTTTTAAGGTGGGAGCATTTATCTTTGAAATTCATCTTTTGTTTGTTGGTGACGGAGGAAATCGTTCACTGTGACGCATCACACACGTCAGCCCCCCCCCCCCCTCCTTTTTTTTTCTTTTCCTGCTCGAATAGAAAACTTCGATCAAACTTTCTCAACTATAAAGGGAAGTTATTTAAAAGCTAAAAACCGAACAAAACAAATTTACAAATTATCCCAAATTAAATTCGCGGTCATTTCACCCCTCCCTCTCTCGCTCAGTGTCCCTGAACACACACATAAAAAACTTACCCGCCCGGTGCTGACTCCTCTTTACTCTCATCCACTCAAAAGTTTTACTCCTTTCATCCGTATCAGCTCCTTTACAGTCCGGGCTCGTGGAGCTTCCCACGGTGATGTGAATCTCGGGGATATTGTGAGGGTAAATTTGAATTTCCTCCGTAAGTGACCCAAAGCGCTGTGGCTTCTCTTTATTTGACGCGCAGTATCCACGTCCTGGAGAGCCCTGCCCCTGCACCCTGCACCGCCAGGGGACACGGGACGAGTGGGGGCAGGCCAGTGTCGAGAATCCCTCCAGAGCCTCAAACCCTGGAGGAGGAGGGCTGTCCGAAGAGGTGCACAAAGTCAGACGCGGAGAATAAAATCCCGAGGCAACTTCCACCTCCACTTTCCCCTCCTCATCACGACCACCGAGTTCAGGATGAGACCTGCTGCCCAGGTCCTGGTTTATAACCTCTTTTGCTCGGCAGCAGCCCGTTAACAGAGGGCTATTCTCCCCTTCGGCCGTTAACTCTTGATAGGAAGTCATTATCACCTTTCCCCTGCATAATCATTGGACGGGCTTGCACTTCATGCCCGGCCTCTCATGCATGGTCAGGCGGCTGGACGACCGTGGGGACATTCCTCAGAGGAGAAACAGCAGTCCCTGATTGATGGAGATGACGTGCCCTCCCCTTCTCGGCCAATAGCTGGACATCTCTGTCATCAGGCTGGACAAAACTGATTAAGCCGAGCAAGCAAGTTGCGAGACTCGCTTAAGGTCAACATTTTTAATGGTGTCCGAGCACAACAAGCAGGCCCACAGAACAAAACTACAAACATCCTTAGAAAGCAGCAGGAAAGTCAATCATCATCACACTGAGGACCTCTGTGGGCCTCTCACCTTCAGACAGGTAGGACACGACGCCAAAAAACACAGTTTTTGTCCATTTAGACAAAGTCATATTCTTCCTCACTGGTTATTTTTCAAGATAACAATAAAAAAACTTTTTGTCCAAAGTCGAATTAGCATAATATAAGTCTACACTGATGTAGTTAATGGATTATGTAAATTTTTCAAGGCTTCTTGAAAAACCCAGGGCCCTCTTTAGCAAAGGGCTTAGGTCATGTGAAAGACACACTTGACGGGTTCAGAGGTCGTGACAGCTGGTATTTAGAAGTTCAGTGGCAGCAGATTTGTAATTAGTCTCGAACAAATACAAAAAATGGCTCCGCGTGAAGATCAAGAAGCTGTAAGTGGGAGAGAGGACGTGTCCAGCTCAAGTTTGACGTGCTCCTCAGCTGGGTTAGCAGCTGCTTTTACGACTGTACTTTTCTCGTGTTTAACCGGAAATGAACTGCTGTGGGACAATTTTCGCGCATGTGTAAACAGGGTTACATGGCTGAAAGTTGAAAGAGTGACAGAAAATATATTTAGATATTAAGAAGCGCAAAAAGCTGCTGGGTCTGCACCGCCCTAAAAGGCATTTGGTGCAAAAGCAGATCTACAGGCGCACAGCTACAGCAGCTCACAGATCAAGGAGCTCCACAGTGCAGCTGTTTGGGGTTTTTTTGTTTTCATTTATATATTTATTTATGCATTTATTTCTGGTGACCTACTTTCAAATTCACGCATCACTGTGACACTCAGCTTGGCCGCATACATTTAAAACCATGGGAATTAATAGAGCTGATAATGCCCTGATGCGCCAGTGCTAACGTCTAATATTCATTTGAAAACCACATTTATTTTCGCTTTCACTTTGATCCCACTTCACAGCTTCTATATATCCAATATTTTGCGAGGGTTGAAAAAAAGAATGACAAACATTAAATAGCTAGCTTGTTATTTTTAAGTTTCAACGATCATGTGATCGTTTTACTTTTTATCTCTGTAAAAAAAATGCTGTGATCCTGCAAATAAGTTGAAGACGTGTAAAGAAATTTAATAATTTTAACTTATTTACACCTGTATTTTTGTTTCCCACGGACTCTTAGTTTAATTAGTTAAAAAACCAACCTATTAATTAGTAAATTAAATTTTTATATATGCATTTTATTACTACTTAAATATAGTAACTACACGGTTATATTACCTTTTTATTATTATCATCGCTAGTGGTAGTAGTAGCAGCATAACTGTCATTAACATTATTAATATTAGTATTATGTGCTATCTAACAGGTAACATTTAATTAAAACCCTAACCTATAAAATATCTGCCTCCGTTCTTATCGCGTTATTTTAACTATATTTTCTATGTCTTTTAAGTCTGCAGTAATTACAAAATAATTCAGCGTAATGAACAACTTCTAACTGCATTCTTACAACACAGAAATATGGTCCCAGCTGTGGGAGTTAATGGGATTCTACAGGCAGCGATGTGCTGAATGACTGAGTGCAATATATCCCTTCTCTCCATGCATTTGCATGGTGCACTGATCCATCTTCATGTCAGCTCGGAGGTTACTCAGGGTTCACGCGCTAGCTTGTTTCTCTCCTCCACACTCTAAATAAATCTCTGCAGCTTTCTGTTTACCGCCTGAATATAAATTTGTTTGCAGTCGATCGAAGACCTGTGCGGAGGTATTAGAAATTGTATTTCTGTAATGGCTTTCAGCAAAGGGAGGCGGGGGACGGGATAGGGTTGCAGAGAGGGGAAAAGAAGAGGAAGAGGGGAAAAAAACAGGTGCGGGCAATCTCGGTTTTTACATTTGCAAATGATTTTTTTCCTTCCCCTTGTTTTTGCTGCAGCCACAGACTATTGCAGCCTTTGGATGCATTCAAATTGCATTCAAAATCAAGTAACCTTTTTTTTAATCTCATAGAACAACAACAACAACAACAACCCATGTTTTATTCCTAGAAGTGCCATATGCTTGATTAGCATATATGAGATGTTGTTCCACATCACTGCCCGGTGGAACAGAAGTTGCATGATTTTGTTTAGCTCAGACTCCTTCCTCTGGACAGCTTGTGTCCCCTTAACCACAAATTTTGCACAAGATTTAGAAAGAGTATAATCTCTCTGTTTAAATGAAATGGATCCTGCAAATACAATTCTGAATTTGAATCCCCCTCAAACCAAACTCTGCAGTCTTACACACATACCAGGAATGGGAATATTCTGCCCATAAACACCTGAAATACCCTCTTAAACCTGAGTGCAGACATTTTCTTCCTTTCCATCATTATCCCCGTAGTCTCTATTGTTTTGACTGGAGGTGAGGTAAACATGGCAACACTTAGGTGGCTATGTCAGGAGCCAGGAGGAGGTGGGGGGAGAATATTGACCGATGTTAATTTGTTTTGCGTCCATGTTCTGATGTGTGTCAATAGGCAGTCAAGGCCCTGGGATCAGTGCGGCCGTGCTCGGATTACCTCCTTGGTTTTGAAGTGAACTCTCATCCTGCTGCTGCTGACATAATGCTGCAACCGCAGTTGACACCAGACCCTTGTGTAGCCCTGCAACACTGTCAAGTCTCATTATGTGTCAGCTCTTGAACCTCACAAGGCTGAGAATGTTAATGCAGTTCCAAGACGGGAAGATGGCAGCTATCTATGCCATGTTCATGGTGGGAAGGTTCATCAGACATCACGATAGAGCTGTAATATGGCAGAGGGACAAAGAGAAATAATTCAAGGTACAGAGAAAGGACTGAAGAAGAAGCACACACAGAAAGCGTGGCACACTGACCAGTTGAAAGATGGCTATCTGAGTGATTGATGGTGCCTGTCGGCTTTTCCCCCCCCAAATATTGACAATTTTGAAAAATCCTTAGGTCAGAAGTAAGGTTTATCTTAGCGTATACCCAGACCACACACACAATCCAGGGAATACCAGCTGAAAACAAAATAACCCATCCGCTCAGTGTGAAATTCTAATAATTGTTCTTGCTTCATTGTTGAATAGCAGAAATCTGTCTCGGCACATGAGCCATAATCATAAATCCAGTGCAACTACTTTGCAAATGGCCAGGGACATTACAGATAACTGCATTCTGCACAGGCTCAACAGTGTGACAATGAAGCAATACCTTACTAATACCAGGACTTTTCAACTATAGCCTGTAGTATGTGCTGCAGCGCTTCACAGCTTCAGTGAGCCAGGAGGCTTCGAGTCGGCAGAATCCCAAACATCATGACAACAAGCCATCAGTCATCTTCCCCCCAAGCTGCTGTGCACACTTGTGTGTTTCCGGAGTTCTTACTGTGGGAAATGAGCAGGGTTAAACATGAAACAGGAGGAAATGTTCATCATTGCAGCACACTCTGTAATATTCTCCCTCATACAGCATTGTTTTAGCTGCAGGGAAAGAGGAGTTGCTTTTATTTATTTATTTATTTTTTACTTAAACATCCCCTGCTTGTTCACAGCACAAATCAGTAGTCTACTGTGCATGCTAAGCATGGTTAATAGCAAAATGTTGATAGAACAGCGATGCCATATTAATAAAACACTAATCCTCTGTTTAAGTTAAAGATAGATTATTCTTTTAGTCTTAAGTAGGAAAATGTCAGCAATGGAAAAAACGTAAAGCTTTGAAAGAATGCTGGGTTTTTAGAATATTCATATATTCGTTATATGTCTTTTGTGTCTTATTAAGTAGTTTTAAAGTAGTGAAAACAATTTGTGTCGCCATGTCTGCCAGTCTGTCAGCTTATTCGTGCATTTAAGAAGATTTAGGTATTCAGACCTAAATCATATTTTCGTGGCTCCAGTTTTGGATTTTCATGGATCATGTTAAACAAATTTCCTTAACAGTAACCATGAAATATGTGAAAAGTTTAATTTAAAGTTCTGTTGTGAAAATTACATCAGCAACATTATTACACTGCAAAATTAATACTGCAGTGAAAATGAATGTCTGTCTTTTTGAAGTATCGAATGTTTCATTAAAATTACCTTCTGATGGTTTCATTGTCCCACAGTGCTGACGTAAAAATAATATGTTTGCAAAACTAAACAAGCTACATGTCTACTCAATTTTCCTTATCACAAGTCAGGAAATAGCCATTAAATTGGGACACCTGAAAGCCACTTTATTAGGTATTCCAAGTGAAACCCAGTTGAAATAATACAAGATAAATGAAGCTGAAAAAACCTTTGGCTCAAACTGTTTTAGAAACCTGCTGTTTGTGCTGCAGTTAATAATATTTTACTGTTTACAGGACTGTGTTATTACACTATTTTAATGTATTTGCTAATGAGAGTCCAGTGAAATGGAGCTGTAAAACGTCTGGAATATCTGTTGCTATCCAGGTACTTCAGCTGAACAACCTAAAAATGAACTTTACCTTAACTTGTGTATGTCCGTATTAGGCATTATGTAATTGGGATATAGCAGCATAAAATCCCACTGTGGACACCACCTACAGATGTAGCTGATATCTGAGAATCCGAGCCGAGTCTCTCCAATCTGAAACTCCTTTCTGTGTGTGTCAAAGGTCTAAAACATTACGTCAGTTTGCAAACTGTGTGTGCAGGCTGATAGGTAACACTATAAAGTATTAAGGAAAATCAATTATGTTTATTTTCTTGTGCTGTTACAGATGGTCTCCTGTCTCCAGGGGAGACTAGACACAAAGC